TGCACACGCACGAGCCGCGCGCCGCCTCGGCGAGGTCGGCACTTCTCTGCGCCCGACCTCGTGCGGCATCGGCCGCTCTGGCCATCGCTCGGACGTCCATTCCCTGTGCCTTTTTCGGTGTCGTGCGTGTGTGTTTTTGTTTCTCCGCCGAATGATCAAGGATGCTCCTCGAGGGCCCTCGCCGAAAGAAAAATACACACGTCCGAGCGATGCCGAGCGCGGGTGCCGCTGCCCTGCGCCTCGCCAAGCGAAACGTGCCCGCGCCTGGCGCCGCGGGGCACGTCCCTCCTCCTCCTCCTCCCCCTCCTCCCATGCCATCTTTGTCGGCGCTTGCGGATCGGCGCCAGTCGACGCCCATCGACGCTACATCGACGCTCATCGACGCCAAACCGACGCTACGTCGGCGCTGCCTCATCGACTCCCAGACGGCCGTCGACGCTAATCGACGCTGAAGGCGGAACTATGGAGATACGCCAAGCACGCATGATGTGCCACCGAGACATGCCGAGCGAAGTGTGGTCGGGGCGAGGGTGAACTGTGGACGGAAGTCCCCCGCTCGCACGCGCGGCTCCGCCACCGATGACTTGGCGAGGGATACATGTGCGCCGCGCTACAGATACGCAAGCGTTTTTGGAGTCGGGGTCTCGACCTTTGGCCGAAAGGTTGGGGATGGGGGGGGTCTGGGTCTGGGCCGGTGCTTATGAAGGGGCACCAGGACACACAAATATATACAAATAAACAGATTCCCCGTCTTTTCCCATCTTTTCTGTGTTTCTGTCTTCCCCCCCCCCACTTCCCATATTTTCTTATATTTTCAGGGGAATCGACGATTCATTGTGTCTGTGTGTTTTTGTTCCCCTCCTGAGCTTCGTCGATCTGCGTTTTCCGGTCGCGCAAGCAGCCTGGAGGTAACGGGTCCTCTGGCCAGTCGCCACAAGCAGCCGCCATAAGCAGCCCAAGGCAAGGCTGGATTGGCTTAGAGGGGGGGGGGAGGCGGGGGCTTCGTGGGCCCCGGACACGGCAGGGCCGTTTTTTCACCGTTTCCAAAAAAAGCGTCCCTTGAAAATGGAAACGGCGAAAAAACGGCGACTGGAAACGGCAAAAAAAACGGCTCCAGGACTGGAACCGGAGCCGGAACCGGTCAAAAAACGGCGACGGAACCGGTGAAACAACGGCGTCGGAACCAGCAAAAAAACGGCAGATCGGAACCGGTAAAAAAAACGGCCCTGTCGTTTCCAGGGCCCACTAAGGGCGGGGGCCCGCGCCGTCCGGCGAAACAAGGAATAAAACGACTGCGACCAGCGGAAAGGCCACAACCAGGCAGGATCTGCATGCCGACCAAGCGACAGCGACAGCTTCGTCCGCTCGAGGCGTCGACGGCAGCACGTGATGTCGACGGCAGCACGTCCACATTGGAAGCGCAAGCGCTTGCCGTGTGCCCGCTCTTTGGTGCAACGTGGCGGGGCCCCGAGTGGCGTGCTCTGCCTCCCAGCTGGGTGGCAACGTGGGAGTACAGTCAACCCGCACAGGAAGGATGGACAACCCTCCCAAGGGTACAGTCGAGGCGTTGACCTAAGGAACCCAAAATAAGGAACGAGGCCCCTTTTTTCGTAAGTGAAACTTTGACTTCCCATCGAAAACAGAAGGGAAACCTGAGGCAAGGTGTGGAACAATTAAGGAACATCGAGCCCCTCCCCAACGAAAAGGGTTCCTTCTTCAGGGCCCCGACTGTACCCTTGCATCCTTCCCCTTCGGCCAGTCCTTGGCCGCTTTGGCTGGGCGCGCCCCGCCCGCAAAGCGTGTCGCCATGGCCCTGCCAGGCCCTTGCATCCTTCTCGCGCGTCCTCATCACAGCAGGGGCCCGACCACAAGAGACCCTCCACGAGAAGCCCAGCCCTGAAACCCCAGGGCGGCCATCGCTTTTGGCGCGGGAACGCTGCGCTCTCCATCGCGCCCAACCATCCACGCCCAAGAAACCCAGGGCACCCTGGAGGCGAGCAGGGTCTCTCTTGGCATGGGCCTCCTACGGGATGCCCGTGCAGCCTAAGCAGGCTGGCCTGGTCGGACGAGGCAGCAGGCCTCGCCTGCCCCTCCCACGACACCCGGCACACGCACACCCGCGGCACGACAAGCAGTGGTGGCACGCCCCGGCATCGGGGTTGTAGAACGTGGCCCCGCCAGGCGAGCGGAGACGCTCTCGCGCGCGGCCGGTCCCGCACACGGCGACCGGGCGACAGCGAAACACGAGGGGCGCGTTCGGAGAGGAGCCTCCTGCGACGCGCACGCGGCGAGAGCACGCCTTGGCCAAGCACCCTCAGAGCGCGGCGGAGACGAGGCATCCGCCGCGCCGAGGCGGCACTTCCATATATTTTTGTTTCCGCACAGGAGCTGCGCGGTGCTTCGGCTCGCTGGCTTCCGGGTGGCCCCGCTGCCGCTCCCGCTCTCGCGCGGTTCGGCGAGCGAGACACCGTGCGCCGCACCCCAGCGGGAACCCCACTTCCAGGCGAACGCGGACAAACAGCCCGCTCGCATCCGCGGCTCCGCCCAAATGAAATGGCAAACGGCACGTATGCGCCGCGCCGAAAAAGGAAGCGCCACAATCAGGCGAAATATGCGCGGCGCTGCGGCGGAGCAAGAGTTTCGTCCTCTCGCGCGTCGCCAAACTGGCGGGCGACAAACGCGCGCCGCACCCACGCATGATGCCAACAGCTCAGGAAAAGTGAGCGCGGCGCCGAGGCGATATCGAAGTTTCGCCCTTTCGCGCGCGACATGCGCCGCGTCCCACTCCTGCCACACGGTTTGCTACGTCGATGTTAGAATGTCCATGCTGGCAGGGCAAACGTAAACTTTAGAGTGCTTTCGGATGGGTCAGATGGACGGTCCCAGACTGACGTGCTATCGGCTGGTCGGCGAGATGGCAAAGCGGGAGCATGTACACACATCGCCAGATTCAGGAGTAAAGATGCGACTGGGAGCACTGGCCAGTAATGCGGGATGACGATTAATAAAACAAATGGGGGGCAACGATTAAAAAAATAGTGTCTGCCATTTCTGCACAGTTTTCACACTGGAGGAGAACGATGAAATCAAGAGTCTTCCAGCCCGCGGCCGGCTTTTTCGAATCGTCATCCCGGGCGCCGCCGCGTGAACACGACCCCCGGTCATTTATGAATCGTCACCCTCCATTCGGAGTCGGCCGAGGAGAGGACGAGGAGGAGGAGAAGAGGGAGAGGAGGAGGAGGAGGAGGAGGAGGAGGAGGAGGAGGAGGAGGAGGAGGAGGAGGAGGAGGAGAGGCAAGAGATCACGAGAAACGGCTCGTCGGAACACACGCAAAGGGCACAAAGGGAGCCCGCGCGTGGGAGAGGCTCACGCGCATCTCACGCATAGGCAAGGAGCCCACGCGCTCGAGCCCGCATGAGGAGAGAGCCCGCGCAGCGAAGCGCGGGAGCCCCCCCCACGCATACAGTCCGAGCATACGGTCGGGGCGTTGACCTAAGGAACCCCAAATAAGGAACGAGGCCCCTTTTTTCCATGAGTTGAACTTCGATTTCCGATCGGAAACATGAGGAACGCCTGAGGCAAGCTGTGAAACACTTCAGGAGCGCGGAGCCCCTCCCCAACAAAAAGGGTTCCTTCTTCAGGGCCCCGACTGTACGCGTCCACGCGACAACGCATACAAGACCACGCTCATAAAGTCCAAGCATACTTTTTTTGGTTCGCGGCTCCGCGGCGAGGGACAGGGAGCGGGTCAACGTCCGGGGCGCGGAACGAAGATAATTGGCCGCAGTGGCGCATGCACGTGCCAGGGACAGAAGGACCCTCATTGAGACGCATACGGCGTCGGCAGGTGACCGGCACAGACATCCCAGCAGGTGGGGACGCAGAGGCGCGGAAGTCCAAGCATACGCGTCCACGCGACAACTCATACAAGACCACGCTCTGGAGTCCACGCCACGACGCATTGGAGCCCACGCGCGCGAGACCGCGCCAAGGAGTCATCGCGTGAACGGCCGACTCTGCAAGACAGGGCCAATCTGTCCACTAACAGGAGAGAAGCATCGGATTCCAAGCAACAACGCTGTCAACGAGTAGCCGTTCACGCGCCATCGGTCAATTCCCCCAAATCGGGCTAGTTCATTACAAGGCGAATGAAAAATCCTGATCGCAAGCGTCGCTTGGGGAATTGGCGACGCACAGGTTTTACAACGCAAGCGAGGGCAGAATAAGTATGAAGAGGACGAGCGAGGCTCGGATGCGCTGAAAACCTCCTTCGACCTCCTTCTCCTCAAATCTCCCCACCTCCCAAGCCTTCCCTCTTTCCCCGTCACCTGTTCCACGTCAAGAAAGGCTGCTCAGCATTTGGGGCATGACTTGGAGCTCTTGGGGCCTGTTTGGCCGTCGAAGCCGCCCCTGGTCTACTAACTTTGCGCTTCGCGCAGCGAAAAGCGCTACGCATGACGATTAGATCGGCGCCCCTGTTGCGAAAGAGGACAGGAGGGCTGAACAGGGGCCACCTTCCCTCACCCTCCTCCTCCGACTCCTCGCCCCCTACCCTGCACCATCCCCCGCAGTGCGTGCACTGTGGAGACGCTCAGGATACGCTGTGAACCAGCCATGGGCAGGCCTGACGTGGATCCAGGGACGGGGAAGGCGCGTTCGCGTGCTCGCGGAGGCAACCCGAAAAAACGCCGCCGCGCCCACGCCGCCCGATGGGACGGGGTGGGCATGGGTTGGCATCGTGAGCTCGCCCACTGCCAGAAAGCACCATGGCTTCTCGGACGTCCATTCCCTGTGTTTGTTTCGGTTTCGTGCGTGGTTTTTTCGCCAAATGATCAAGGATGCTACTCGATGGTCCTCGCCGAAGGAAAAATGCACACGTCCGAGCGATGCCAAGCGCACAGGCCTGATCCACCGACGGATCCAAGCCATCGTCCATGCGTTTGCATCGAGCTCGTGCGTAAGCAGCACGCCCCCCTCCCCATGCGCCCCGTGCCCGCGCCGACGCGGGAGGTCATCTCCGCCTGCGAGCGCGACACTAACTCGGGAGTTCCAGAGGCGGCGCCCGGGCCTCGCGAGCGGACGAGGGCGGAGGGCAGGCGAGGAGAGCGGGAAGGGGGGGGGGGGCGTGCACGGCAGGCGCATGGCGGCAGGAGGCCAGCGACAGTGCTGAGATCCAGAGACGCAAGCATGTCTCACTCGCGCACGCGATGTGTGCATGCGTATATTTGCAGATACGTGAATGTATAAAGATATGTATAGATAGATATATACACATGTACACACACACACACACTTCACTATACCTAAAGCTGCACGTGTGTTTTAATCCGCGCGCAGTTTACGCCAACCAGCCAAGGCGACCGCAGGCGTACTAGTTCCTGGGAGACGGGCAGCGCGTGTCGGAGTGCTTCGACATCTGGACTGCACGCGCGCGAGGGCGGCCCTGGGGGGCCTGCGGACCTAAGCGGGCCCCACTTGCCCCAACAGCGGGCGAGCAATATCGACCAGCGAGCGCGGACTAAAGCGTGCCCATCCTCATGATGGCCCCAAGATGGTTGCGGGATAGTGCCAACCTGCCCCAGGATAGTCCAAGACATCCCAACGGGCTGCACAGACGGCCCAATATTGTCGAATACCCTATCTTCGCATGTTCCCAAGAAGGCCGCAAGCATAACAACGAGAACCACGCGTGTGGTGGTGTTGTTGTTGGCTTCTCTGGACCCGAAGTGGCTCCAATAGGGCAACAAAAGAGCAACGCGAGAGGGCACAAGAGCGGCCAAACAGCACGGGGCCAGTGGGCAGCATGCACCAGTATGACCCTCAGGCACAAAGAGGCCCCAAGAGAGGCCCAGCATGAGGTAAGAGGCCCGAAAATGGCTCCAAGGAAGCCCCAAGAACCCAGAGGCCCCAAGAAGCCCCTGAGAGGCCCCAAGAGCCATCCCAAGATTGCCTAAGCCATTGGGAACAATGAAATACATGATTGTGTTCCTGCGTCTGCGGACTCCAGTGGGCTCTTGGCCCCCGTGGTGGCCCCAGAAGGGCTCCCAATGGGCCAGGAGAGGACACCAAAATTACCCAGCACGGCCTTGAGAGTCACAGGCCCCCAGGAGGTCTCCACAAGCCTCCCAAAGACCCCCAAGAGTCCACCAGGATTCTCCGACAGCACGCGAAGGGATTTGTCCCAACCATCCTGTGGCGTCGGGCCCTCATTTGGAAGACACCGCCCCCCCCCCGTGCCTTGCCTCCTCCCGCTGCCCCTCCCCCCTTCCTCCGCACTCCGCGTGCCAGAGTTCAGCACACCCCGCGCCCGCTCCGTGGCCCCAGATGCAGCTCCATCGCAGACCCGACTGGCAGGGCTCGCATGCCGCTGCCCAGCCCGTGACGGCACGCCCCTCTCGCGCCTCGTGGCCTCACGAGGAGCCCCGCCGGAGGCGACGGTGGCAGGGTCCGCGGCCCCACTGGAGGCTCCAGCGCAGGCCAGAGTGGGTGGTAATGCGGTAGGACGATGAATAAAAAAAATGGGGGGAACGATTAGAAACATAGTTGTCTGTCATTTCTGCACAAGTTTCTCACCGGCGGAGAACGATTAAAGAAAGTAGTTCTCCAGCCCGCGGCCGGTCTTTTCTAATCGTCACCCCGGGCGCCGCCGCGTGAACACGACCCCCGGTCATTTATTAATCGTCATCCTCCATTAGGGTTAGCAGGCCGTTGCCCCGCCCATGTCGGCACACGCCTCACACCTTTCGTGGCCCCACGGGGAGCGCCACCGAAGCAAGGATCTCCCTTTCATTCGTCTTACCTGCCGTGCGGCACTCGCTGAGAGAATTTGGTTACTTGGTTGTGCTCTGCTTTCCGGCTTCGATGTCGACCCCTGGGTGGGAGCCTGTTCCGTTATGTATTCTGCTCGATCTACCAAGCAGCACTGCTTCCACCCCATGCGGGCTGCACAGGACGGATTTGGGAAACTACCCCCAACCAGCAGCTTCCCAACCGCCACGAGCATGCAAGCGCACGACAAGGACGATGCGCTAAAGGCCGGCGGATTGCGTGAAGTGATTGAAGAGAATGCATACGTGCATGCATACACGTACGTAGAAATAAACACGCACAGGTTACATCACGCATCGCGAGCGATTGTAGAATGCACGCATTGACACGAACCTGGGTTGATGAGAGAGAGGCTGGGGGATCACAGCGCGAGTGGAACATGAGTACGAGGGCGGATAGACGCTAAAATCCAAGGCCATAACCTGGAGCCAGGCCACAAATGGCCCGTCTACAGTTTGACTGCTTTCAATCGACGCGCGCAGAAGAGTTGGCCAACTACACATTCGGCCATTGAGGCGAGCCCCTGCGAATATTCCCATGATGAGATGCCCGCACCACCGCTCAACTACGTAATTCGCGTACGGTACAGCGAGCGATGCCATGCCTCCAGACTGATCCCTGAAGGGATTCTGGCACGGCCCTGGACCAAGGGTCACTAGAATGCCGCGTGGGCCACAGAGCCATGACGCATAAGCTCTCCTCCATCCCGACCCCAACCCCGACCCTAAGCCTGAGCCCAAGACCGAGCCAGAGCCAGAGCAGGCCGGAGCCGGAATCCGAACCCAATCCTGGGCCCAGGCCCGAGCCCGAATTCGAGTCCACCCCACTGCGAGATACAGAGAAGCAGACAGAGAGAGAGAGAGGACACTCATCACCGCCACCACCTGAGGGGCCCAAGATCTTTCTCATACTCATCTGTGAGGTGCGGGCGTGCCCGGTGCTCCGCGAGAGCGCCACCAGGAACCACTCCGCCCCCCCTCTGCTTCGCTTGCCGTCACTCTCTGCCGTGGTCGTGGCGCTCCTCCTTCCTCCGGCCCTCTCTTCGTTTCGGCAGCAACTAGTCTCGACCAGGCTGATTTTGTGCAGCGCGGCCACCTTCTGCTAGCGGCGCCGAAATCACCAAACCCAGAAAAGCGATGCGGCGATGTGCGACCATAATCTCGGAAGGCGTACCAGGTCCGGGCGGCCGGAGGCGGAGGAGAGGGAGGAGGGGGGGGGGGCGGGGGTCAAAAACGGCCGAGGAGGGGGGGGGGCGGGGGCAAAAACGGCCAGGAGGAGGGAGCGGAGGAGGAGGAGGATAGGGGAGGAGGAGAAGGAGGAGGAGGAGGAGGCGGAGGAGGAGATCGAGGGGGGGTAGGAGGAGTAGGAGGAGGAGGAGGAGGAGGAGGAGGAGGAGGAGGAGGAGGAGGAGGAGGAGGAGGGGAGGAGCAGGAGGAGGAGGAGGAGGAGGAGGAGGAGGAGGAGGAGGAGGAGGATGTGGAGGCGGGCGGGGGCAAGAACGGCCAGGCGGAGCTCGGCCATCTGGACCTGGCCGGGCCGAGCCTCGCCTGGCCGCGTCCTGGCGCACGCGTTCCAGCAGGTGCTCCTGGGCGCTGCGCTGCGCCTGCTGGCGATGCGGATGCAGAGAGCAGGTCGGCGGCGAGCGAAGGGGGGGGGTATGACAGGGACAAGGCCTTCTCCCAAGGCGCGGGGACTTCTCAGAAGCCCTCGCGCCTTCTGAGCAGTGCTCATCTGTTTTCGAGGAAGGCCGGGGGACTTCCGAACCTTCTGAGGAGGCCTTTTCCTTCTCGCTGCCCCGCCTCGCTCGCCACCGAGCAGAGAGCCCCCCCCAGAGTAAGCACCCCGACAAGCGAAGCCGTTGAGGAAACGCACCCACGGAAGGAACCGAGCAGGGCGCAGGGCTGCTTAGTACACGCCCAGGGCCGCTTGGTAAACGCCAGTTGTGGGGGTCGGGGTGTTCTTTCCTCCCTTGGTGATGGTGCCAATCCTCCGCCTGGCGAGGTGCGGCGTGGCGGGGCCGCCGATGCTCCTGCGGGTCGCATCCTGCCAGTCCCCGAGCACCCACAGGCTTGTGAGTAGACGCCTGTCAGGGCCTGCCTGCCACGGATAGGTCTGAAGGGGCCCTGGGACACACAAATAAATACACACAAATAACAGGATTCGCCATATTTTCACGAATTTCCAGGGTTTTCGTCTTCCCCACCACTTCCCATATTTTCCCATATTTTCGGGGGGATCGACGATGAATTGTGTCTGTGTGTTTCTCTTCCTCCCGAAGGTCATGCTCCTGGTCCGCAGCTTCCCCGTTCAGACGTGCACACGTGCTCCTCCGCGCGCCCGCGATCCACCGCGTGTTCGCGGAGACGCTCCTGCTGCTGGCCGTCGTGCTCGGGATGGGGTCCCCGCATCTGCCCGGGAAGGCGATGCGGAAGGTCGTGTCCGTGCTGGCGCGCACCGTCCTGCTGCAGGCTGCAGGCCCCCGGAATGCCTCGAGTGCTGCAGGCTGCGGCGCCTCGGGTAGTTACCGGCAGCGCGCGGTGCTCTTCATGCTTGGCCGTGGGTGCCGTGGGACAGCGTGGCCACGATCCCGAGCCTGATTCCTCCGCATCAGCACGTCGAGCCTGTGAGCGCTGTCGCCGCTTCGCCTGCTGGGGTCAGGCCGATCCGCGGTGCCTGGCTGCCCTCTGTACCGTTTCAGCTCTGAGTGCTGACCGCTTACTTTCTGGACCCGCCCCTATGGAGGCAGCCCAACTAATAGCGCCTCTTCCGTCCCCCGTGCTCATCATTCTCCGCTCTCTTCCCACTCCCCCCCGCGCGCGCGAGAGAAGGCGGAGGAGCAGCGGGGGGAGGCGGGTGAGGATGGGGAAACCACGAGGTACTGATATCGCTGCTCCAGGGACCGCGTCCCGACCACGATCTCGCGGCGGATCCAGCCGTGGCGACGAGGGCCGCCCCGGAGGAGGAATGCCCCGGAAAGGCGACAGCGGGGGATGGGTACGTCAGGTTCGTGTCGTGCCGACTTTGGCGCTGGTTTCTGACACCGCGGGGATCGTTCAACCTTGAACGATCGGCTGTTTCCGAAACGTCCAAATCGTTCCACATCGCACGATTCTGGACGCCCGCGGCATTAAAAGTTGAACGCCGCTGGCGGGGTCGCCGCCGGTCGACACGACACGAACCTACCGTAGCCGTAGCGCCAGCTCCCCCCCCCCCCCGGGGAGGTCGGCGACACGCGCAAAGAGAAGAGGCAGAGAAGGACCTCTGGGGCGCAACTGCCGGGGGCCGCGGGAAGGCCACACACACAAACACAAACACACACAAACACACAAACACACACACACACACAAAGACACACACACACACACACACACACACACACACACACACACGCACACACGCGAGCGCGCAAGACGCTCCTACTTCGTATCGCGTTCAGCCATCCGGGGACCCCAGCGTCGGGGGCGGCCACGGGGGCGAGTATCCCAGGGGAGAGCAATCCATCTGGGCGGAGGGCGGAAGCCCTGACCCGAACGCGTTGCCATCTCTTGGAGACGCATCTTCTGCTCCCGCCGCCTTCCGCCGAGCTCCCGCCAGCTTCCGCCGGCGGAGGCGGCCTCGCTCTACTTCCGCCGACCTCCCGCGGAAGAGCTGACAACTCCTTCTGTCCTCGGAGGCAGGGCCTTCTTGGGACGCCCCATATCCAGGGGCGCCGAGGGTCCGTGCCTCCGGCGACGCTCCTGGGCGAAGGCGTGTAACAGGCGGCCCGCCCCCGGGCTCTGGGCCCCCGCCGCCGCCTCCGCATGCGTGCCCGCACCAGGAGGCCACGCTGGCGAAAGGCCACTCCTGCGTGCTCCGCCGAGGATTGAGCAGGGACCGACCGGCCCGGCATTCCTAGAGTCTAAGAGTCCTACCACGAGATGCTCTTAGAGCCCAAAAATGTTCTAAGAACAACAGCAACGCTCTTAGAACATAAACCCGATGTGTTAAAACAAGACAGTCCCAGCCAGAAATGTTCTACGTCAGGTTCGTGTCGTGCCGACTTTGGCGCTGGTTTCTGACACCGCGGGGATCGTTCAACCTTGAACGATCGGCTGTTTCCGAGACGTCCAAATCGTTCCACATCGAACGATTCTGGGACGCCCGCGGCGTTGAAAGTTGAACGCCGCTGGCGGGGTCGCCGCCGGTCGACACGACACGAACCTACCGTAAGAACATTTCGTGGGAACCACACAAGGTTCTGAGAACATTGTTTGGTGGGGCTATAGGCGAGCCAGGACGCTTCGCCACTGCTTGAGAGGAGGAAATGGCGGCGGCGGAGGCGCTCCTCCTGAGAACCCCGGCGCGCGCTCCCCTCGAGAAGGGGGCGGGGCCTCCAGCGGGCGCTGCTGCCAGGCGGTGTGAGGAGCCCGGCCTCGCGAGCGGCTCCGCGAAGGGGGGCCCGGCCACGCGGTCCGCCTGGAAGCCGCGGGGGAGGAGACCAAAGAACTCTCCAGCTGCGGTTGCACATTGTTCTTCCCAACCATCCTGTGGTGTTGGGCCCTCGTTTTGAAGAGACAGCGCCCCGCGTTCCTCCTCTCCTCCTCTCCTCCTCTCCTCCTCCCTCTCATCCCTCCCTCCCTCCCTCCCATCCCTGCCTCTGTTCTCTCGCATGCCAATTTCGGCGGCCCCGTCACACGCTTCGTGGCCCCATAAGGGGCTCCACCAAAGGCCGATTTGCAGGTACTGGATGCAGTTCCACCTCCATTGCGGTGCACCCTTCACACGCTTCGTGGCCCTTATCAGGTGCTCCGCCGAAGACCCCAGTGGCGGGGTCCGCATGCAGTTCCACCCACAATCTGTCGCACCCCTCACACGTTTCGTGGCCCCATAGAGTGCTCCGCCGAAGGCCCCAGTGGTAGGGTCAGCATACAGTTCCAACTCCATGTCGGCGCGCCTTCACACGTCTCGTGGCCCCATAGGAAGCTCCTCCGAAGGCCCCAGTGGCAGGGTCCGCATGCAGTTCCACCCACAGTCTGTCGCACCCCTCACACGTTTCGTGGCCTCATATAGGGTGCTCCACCGAAGGCCCCAATGTCAGCGCCTGCATGCAGATCCACAGCCATTTCGGCGCACCCCTCACACGCTTCGTGGCCCCATAGGGTTCTCTGCCGAAGGCCCCAGTGGTAGGGTCCGCATGCAGTTCCACTCTCACTTCGGCGCGCTCATCGCACGCTTCGTGGCCCCATAGGAAGCTCCTCCGAAGGCCCCAGTGGCAGGGTCCGCATGCGATTCCACCTCCAGTTCGGCAAACCCTCACACGTCTCGTGGCTCCCATAGGGTGCTCCACTGAAGGCTCCAATAGCAAGGTCCGCATGCAGTTTGACCCCCATGTATGCGCACCCCTCACACGTTTCGTGGCCCCATAAGGTGTTCCACCCAGGACCCCAGTGGCAGGGTCCGCATGCAGTCCCACCTCCATTTCGGCGCACCCCTCACACGTATCGTGGACATAGTCTGGTCCACCGAAAGCCCCAGTGGCAGGGTCCGCATGCGATTCCACCTCCATGTCGGCGCACCTCTCACACGTCTCGTGGCCCCTATAAGGTGCTCCACCGAAGGCCCTGGTGGCAGGGTCAGCATGCAGTTACACCCACAATCTGGCGCACCCCTCACACGTTTCGTGGCCCCATAGGATGCTCCACCGAAGGCCCCAACGGCAGCGCCCGCATGCAGTTCCATCCTTCCTTTCGGCGCACCCCTCACACGTTCCGCGGCCCCAGAAGGTGCTCCGCCACAGGCCCTAGTGGCAGTGCCCGTACGCGGTTCCACCCTGCATTTCGGCACACAAGCTTCGTGGCCGCACATGGGGCTCCACCGACGGCTCCGGTGGCAGCGCCCGCATGGTGTACCCGTGCCAATGTTGGCACACCCTTGACACGCGTCGTGGCCCCAGGGAGAGGTTCACTGAGGACGATACCCACAACAACGTTACACTCTTAACTGCACATGGTTGGGTCCCTCGCCAGGATAATTGTCCTCAGCCTCGCTCCAGGACGTGCCGGGTTACTTCTGGCTTCGAGCCTTGGCGGCCACGGACGGCGCAGCCAACATGCATATGCACGACTGCAGCAAACCATGCTGCGATGATGCGTTCGCAGTCACGCGACGCATGGCCTTGCAACGACGCTCCCGACAAGTGTGATGCAAAGCTCACGGGCTTCCCGCCCACCCAGGCACGAGAAAGGACACGCTGGAGGCACCGGAAAGAACTGTTCTGGGCTTCCCGCCCACCCAGGCACGAGAAAGAACATGCTGGAGGCACCGGAAAGAACTGTTCCGACGCAGCAGTCGGCCGGTCGGCCAGTCGGCCCGTCGGGGAGTCGGCCAGTCGGCCAGTCAGGGTTGGCCAGGAACGGGGGGGGAGTCGGATAGTTCATCCCGGTGCCCCAAGAGGGAGGCGAGGGCGCCGACCACGCGCGCATTGCGCATTCGACCATCGACCCCTCGTCGCACCTCGCTCCCGGGCCGTCCTCGGCGGTGTTCGACGGTCTGTATGGACGGCTGTTGGCGGTCTTCGGCGGTCTTCGGCGGTCTTCTGAGGCTCTTCGGCGGCTTCCGGCGGTCTTTGGCGGTCTCCAGCGGCATCCGGCGCGGAAACGGATTGGCTGCGTTCAACAAGGGGTCCATGATCAAACACCTAGCGTGGATACCCAGACATGCCTGCGACGTCGAAATAGATCACCGAGGAAGGCTTCTGGCCAATTTCGGCCTCTTAAGGCCCTCGTCCGAAAGCCAACCTCGTCAAATCAGATATCGGGATGAAAAACCGACCCTGGGGACAAACTTCAGGGGGACCCGTGTTGAAAACAAAACCTTCTTATGTTACATCCCCGGGGGACCTTTTCTGCCCCGTCGCGGCCCCATCCGCATCGAATCCGTGTCGAATCCATGTTGGACTCGTCGGATCCGTGTCGAATCCGTGTTGAATCCGCGACGAATCCACGCCAAATCCGCGTCGAGTCTGGGCCGCCAGACATCGACGCGAATCGACGCTATCCCATCGACTCCCAGACGCTAATCGACGCTCATCAGCGCTGAAGACGGAATCAAACGAGCGTCGGCAAGTCCGAGATCCGGCGAGCTCGAGTCCTACGTTTTCCCGACATCGGTCGGGAAGAAGTGGAGATACTCATGAAGCAGGGAGGTGTTGAAAGTATTTTTGGGGTTCCCGCCCGCCCCCCTGAAAAGGATGGGAACAAGGAAGACCGTCCGGCTCATTGGATCGGGGAAGCGCCTGAAATGTGTTGGGACCTGGGAATCCGTAACTACTCACGCTCAACGACCGATGGGTGTGCCCTGTCTAGGGGGCCACATGCGAACCCTACCCCTATCCCCCACGATTTCTGAGGGGGAGGGTGGGGTTCACTTCGCTCGGGAGCTATCATTCTTTGGCAAGGAGGGAAAGTGCACCTATCCCGCGGCCAGTGAGCCTGGCCACGATCGGCGCGGGTGTAGGGCTGCCGTCTCCCACGGGAAGCATCGAGAGCCTCGACGGCTCCCAGCGCCGGCAGCTGCGAGGGAGTCACGCGGCGCGTCCCGTGTTGGCCCGCCCGCGCCCTGTCTCCCCAATTGGTGCTTTGCGCGGCCCGCCCAGCTCTTAACCGGAAGAGGCTCGCTCTCGACCCGCAGACCCCCAGCAAAAAAAAGTGAGGGCAGCTTCGCGGTGCCAAAAGAAAGCAGCAGCCCCAGGCGGGAAGTGCAAGCAGCCTTCCCGAGCAAGCGTTGCTTGAGGAACAGCACGCGCACAAAAACGAGGGCTCCCCCACCGGCAGCGCAAAGCCGAGCCACAGTCGCCAGCTCTTGGGGGGGGGGGAGGAACGAAGCAGGGCCAGTTCGTCGGCCAGCTACAGGCTGCTCGCAGGGCTTTGGCCAGGGTGGTGAGGGAGGGAGGGAGGGAGGGAGGGAGGGAAAAGAGCGGCGGGAGAGTGACGAAGGAAAGGGAGGGAGAAAAAGAGGGACGATGCACCTGCGAAGGGTAGCGGGGAGAAGAGAATACGATAAGGGGGTGCGGAAGGAACGGGGGAAAGACCGAGGCTCTCCGCCCCCCACGCTGGCAAGGACGCCCTGACCAGAACAATGTGAACACACAACGGTCGCATAGCTTCAGAGATACTCCACTGCTTTCGAGAGACGGCGGCTGACGCACCGCTGGTGCGTGTTGCAGGCGACGTCAGAGGTGCTGCGCCACTCTCGCATGACAAGTTCGCATACCTTCTGCTCCAGTGCTGAGGCCCAGGGCGAGCCTGCTATGTCGCACAGACTCATTTCGCCACGGGGTGACTACAGCTGTCGCCGCGCCCTGGCCATGCGTTCTCGGCACCGCACTCACTGCCTACACCGAGACCAGTACAAAGGTGCTTTGCGGTCGGTGGTGCTCTTCCCCTGCACAATCAACCCGTATCATCAGGATGCGCAATGAGGATGCAAGGGCCGTGGACGCCCATCTCGAAGCTTGCCGAGCGGGGCGCGGCCAACGCAAGTGGCCAAGGATGGACCGAGGAGGCAAGGATGCAAGGATACCCTTCGGAAAGTTGCCCATCCTTACTAGGCGGGCTGACTGTGTGTCAGCCGCCACGCCGTTGGCATGGGGCAGAGTGTGCTCGGCTCCCCCTGGGAGTCCACAGTTGTCACGCGCACAAGTTCCAAGGGGCTGGAACTCGAGCGGCTGTGGGCGTCGGTGTGCGGTGTTGCTCGGCAGTCTCGCGTGGGAGGCCTTCAAAGGTCAGAACATCGGATGCACCCATCACGCAGGGTTGTGGCTGAGCGTTTTCTTATTCGGCGTTCCGACATTGGGCGGAAGAGGGGGAGGGGGGAGGGGGTCTGGCTCTGGACCTCTGCTTAGTGCGACTGTTTGCAGCAGTGGGTCCTACGGGGGAGACTCCACCTGCCTGAAACAAGCGCACAAGACAACCAAGATCTACTTCACGAGGGGGTGCGAGGGCCTGCGCCGATCGGCAAAACACTATAAATACATATATATATATATATATATGAAAAAAACGAACACCGTCGTGGTCTAAACATCAAGTGTGTTTTAACGCGTGTGTTTGCTACACTCACCATCACAATGCATCCAATGCTGCTGCACGGAAAGGTGACAAAGTCATGGGTCCTTCAATGGCTTGAGGTGTGTGCGAGCATGTCGACACTTGTGTTTGGCGCATCAGAACCAGTTACGCCCAACAAATGGCGCCCACTCAATGTAACACAAGGCGTTTTCAATGTGTTCTAGGCGCGACTGCCCATCTCAATGGCTTAGCGCATTCGCTGACACAGTAGTGCTCTCATGCATTGTTCTCCAAACCGCTTGTTTAACGCATTCGCAACACACATGGGTGATTTAATGACGATTGTCTAACCTTTTCGATGCTGCCCCCAGCGTTCTTGCTGACAACCCCCTGCTCGACTCGTATGAGCTTGGGATCGCAAGTGTAAAGTGTATTGAATATCACGCTCTCGCAAAGCATCATGACCCCTAATTGCGGCTGGTCCCAGGCACCCCCATGCGACCCGCTCCTAGCGTTCGTCGCGTGTCTTTTCCACACAGTCTCGGGAACTTGGTTCGGCACATACGCCCCCACTATGCCCTAAGACAATCCGAGATAAACCTTCTCGGAGGCCCTCGGAGACGGCCCAAGACGCCCTCATTGTGAAACACTTCGTTATGGTATGACTGTTGCATCGCTCTTGCGTGTTCAGAGCGTCCGATGCGGCCCAAGGGCCCAGGGGGACTTCAAGATCGCCCCCAAGCAGCCCGCGAGCGCCCCCCCCAACAGTGCCTCTGACGGCTCCAAGAAGAGCCCCGAAGGCATAACTCGAACTGATATGCGGAGCCCCCCCAATCCCAAGATGGCCCTCAGGACCGCCAGCAAGTTCCCAAGAGGCATCCGAGGAGACCCCAAGAGGCCTCCAATACCCCCACAGAAGTCTTCGAAAGGTCCTAAGGGGGCCTTCCAGAGGTCTTCAGGTGGCCCCCCAAGAGACCCCAAGAGGCCTCTGAGAGGCAACGGATTCTCGACCCAAGGACGCTGAGGGATTGGGCTGCAAGTCACTAGGCACTGCTAAAGCTGCTTCAGTCGGAACTGATTGCAAGGGACATCCGAGAGGACGCAAATCTCTTCCGACAGCATCAAGTCATGAAGACGACACGGAACGCGATGGGCAGGACTCAAGGGAACCTCCTCCTCTGCAAGCTGGACCTACCAATCAGACCTGATTGTGCACCTGGCTGGTTTGCCGCTGCTCCCTAACACCAGACCTTTGTTCTATAGCGGAGCAGGGTGAGTGCATCGGTCCTGGGACCCCTTCCCGAGCTCCAGGTGCACGAGCTCTCTGGGCGGCGTCAAGCCGTGGCGACGAGAGGGCCGCCCACGAAGGCCAACTCCCGTTGTCTCAACTCGCCACCCTCTGACAGCCTTGAGTCGGGCATGTCTCTCTCTACTGGAGGAATACTCAACCACAGTCAGGCCATAGCATCTGGTAACGAGTTGCTTGACAATGTCTGCCAAATTCTGGGCGTGTTTTGTCCACTTCTGATCTTTCGTCCAAGCTCCGACCTGTTTTGGAGGAGGAGGAGGAGGGGAGGAGGAGGAGGGGAGGAGGAGGAGGAGGAGGAGGAGGAGGAGGAGGAGGAGAGGAGGAGGAGGGAGGAGAAGGAGGAGGAGGAGGGAGGAGAAGGAGGAGGAGGAGGAGGACGACGACGAGGCGCTGAGGATCGCCCCCCGCTCGCTCTCGGGCCCTCCCCCACGAAGGGGGACACCTCGCTGGGGAGCCGCGGGGACGTTCGCGCGCCCCGAGGGCACTGCAGACGTGGGCCCAGCACGGCACCCTGGCCTCGCTGCCACGCCCTGGTCCGCAGATGTCCTCCCCCTCCTCCTCCTCCTCCTCCTCCTCCTCCTCCTCCCCCTCCTCCCTCCCCTCCCCCCCCCCCCCTCCCCCTCCTCCTCCTCCTCCTCCTCCTCCTCCTCCTCCTCCTCCTCCTCCTCCTCCTCCTCCTCCTCCTCCTCCTCAAGTCGGAATGAGGGATGAAAACAACGCCCCTGTGGTGTGTTTGGGCTGAACGCGACGTGGCGCAAACAACGGTGGGCTGCAGCGCCTCTGTGGTGTGCCCGGGCTGCAGCGCCTCTGTGGCGCGTCCTGGGTTCTCTACCCCCCCGAGAGATGCAGACAATGCCCCCTGTGGTGTGGGATGAAGACAGCGCTCCTGGATTACAAGTGCGTGGTCCGCAAACCTCCTGGGAGCTCCCAAAGGCCAGGAAGCCGCCAGGACGCCGCGCGGCACGCGGGACACGCAGGGTTCACCCTGTCCGCCCACGGGAGGTTCAGCGCACGGCGCCTCGTAAACCAAGGCAGGGGCGTTGTTTAAGCCCTTGGCGGAAATCGACTCCAGAATCGATTTACCCGAAAATTTGTTTGGGGCGTGGGGTCTCCAAGACAGAAGATGCAGACGGTGTGTAGATCTGCGCACATTCTGCGCGTGTTTCGTAGATTCGACGGAGCACCATGTGCTGGGGGTGAATCGATTTCGCAGTTTCGGTGGCAACTCATGGGAGGCTCCCATACCAACCTGTCGGCTCTTGCGAACCGACGCTGGTCGACGCTAAATCGACGCCAATTTGACGCTAAATCGACGCTAGGCGACGCTACATCGGCGCTATCTCATCGACTCCCAGACGCTAATCGACGCTAGCCGACGCTAGAACGGAATTCAGAGGGTACACCAGGCTCCCATGACATGCAAGTAGCGGAACTTTTTGGGGCAGATCGATATTGCAGTCAACCTCCTTCTCGAAGTGTCCTGGCTCCAAGGGCCCTGACGATCCCCGGTGGGCCCGCGCCGCCCATACCCGGGGGCGCGGCTCCCTCCTGCAGCGTGTGCGCGAGGCTGGGGGTCGCGGGCCCGAAGCTGCTCGCGGCCGCCTCGCGGCGCCGCGCACCGCCGCCGGGACGCAGGAAGGACACGCAGGTGCCCCGGACGTGCTCGCGCCGTGCACAACAGGACGAGGGGGATGCTTGGCCGCTTTGGGGCCCCTGGAGGCCCTCCCCCGGCCTCGGGACCCTCAGAAACGACCGAGGATGGAGAACTGGTCCTGGGGGAAGGGGTGGGGACTCCGGGAGGACACCGTGCTGGAAAAAACGGGACGTCGCACCCCTGGGCTGGCACCATACGTCCGCCTTTGAAGGCGTGCGTCCGACAAGATCATACAGCACAAGCGTCTTACAGCCGGGGCGTTGATCTAAGGAACCCTAAATAAGGAACGAGGTCCCTTTTTTTCCATAAGTTAAACTTCGACTTCCTGTCGAAAACATAAGGAAAACCTGAGGCAAGCAGTGAAACAATTAAAGAACATCGAGCCCCTCCCCAACGAGAAGGGTTCCTTCTTCAAGACCCCTACTGTACTGCACATCGTTGCCCAGCGGTGGGGCCAGGCTGCGCCCGCCCCCAAGCATCTGCCGTAGGATGTCCGAGCGCGCGCGTCGCCACTTCGGGGGCGGCGCACGCACGCAGTACAGTCGGGGCGTTGACCTAAGCAACCCTAAATAAGGAACGAGGCCCCTTTTCTCCATAAGTTGAACTTCGATTTCCCATGGAAGCCCTAGGGAAACCCTGAGGCAAACTGCGAAACAAGCAAGGAACATGGAGCCCCTCCCCAACGAAAAGGGTTCCTTTTTTCAGCGCGCCGACTGTAGAGAGCACGATGGGGTGAAGCCGAGCATCGCTGCTCGCCACACGGCGAGAGGGGCGGGGGGGAGATAGGCAGGGGCACATGGGACTTCGGACGCCCGAAGTGGGTGCGGGAGACGTGGACACGATGCCCAGCAGCAGTTGTCGTCCAGCACCGGCAGCGGCCACTGCTGGGCATGCGGCTCTCTGCCTCAAACGGATCACGCCCGCGGCGACACCGGCAGCGAACCCAGCTCAAAATGGACAGGCACTGCTGTGGGTCTTCGCCAACATGGAACGCACAGATACATCAGAGTGAGGGGGCCGAACGGTCATTCACTGTCCCTCGGTGCGTGGCTGAAGTGGGATTCCGCGGTGCGGATTCTCGTTGTTGTTGTTTGTTGTTGTTGTTTGTTGTCGTCGTCCCACCCGCGACCCACCCCGCGACCCACCCGCGACCCACCCCGCGACCCACCCCGCGACCCACCCGCGACCCACTCGCGACCCACCCGCGACCCACCCCGCGACCCACCCCGCGACCCATCCCGCGACCCACCCGCGACCCACCCTCGACCCACCCGCGACCACCCCGCGACCCACCCCACGACCCACCCCGCGACCCACCCGCGACCCACCCGCGACCCACCCCCGACCCACCCCGCGACCCGGCCGCGGCCCACACCGCGACCCACCCGCGACCCACCCGCGACCCACCCGCGACCCACCCGCGACCCACCCGCGACCACCCCGCGACCCACCCGCGACCCACCTTCGACCCAAACCACGTTCAAGGTACAAACCACCATTTTCGGCGCCTGCGGCGGGCTTTTTTTGCATTCCTTCCAGGTGGAGAGCCCGCGACCCACCCCGCGACCAACTCGCGACCAACCCGCGACCCAAACCACGTTCAGGGTACAAACCACATTTTTCGGCGCCTGCGGCGGGCATCTTCTGCATTCGTTTCAGGTGGAGAGCCCGCGGCCCACCCGCGACCACGTTCAGGGTACAAACCACATTTTTTCGGCGCCTGCGGCGGGCATCTTTTGCATTCGTTCCCGGTGGAGAACCCGCGGCCCACCCGCGACCCAACCACGTTCAGTGTACAAACCAATTTTTTCGGCGCCTGCGGCGGGCTGCTTTTGCATTCCTTCCAGGTGGAGGTGGAGAGCCCGCGACCCACCCGCGACCCAAACCACGTTCACTGAACAAACCAATGCCGCACAAGCGCGGCGGCGGATTTTTGCATGCCGTCTGAGCCCGCAACGACCTCTTCAAGCCCCGCGCATCCACACCAGCCCGTCCAGCAACTTTGCCCTGGCGAGTTGCCTTGATCAGAGAAGTCGGGGAGCATAAAGTGGAAAAAAGGATTGCGTTGCCGTTATCTTGGGAAAGGAGGGGGAGGCAGGAGGAGTAAACAGGGGACGAGGAGGACGCGGAAGAAGAGAGGATGTAAGGAGAATGTGGAGAAAGAGGAGGAGGAGGAGCAGGAGGACGAGGAGGGGGAGGAGGGGAGGAGGGGAGGAGGAGGACGAGGAGGGGGAGGAGGGGGAGGAGGGGGAGGAGGATGATGATGGACGACAATGGGAGGACGATGATGGAGGCCGATGAGGGGGTGGACGACAATGGGAGGACGATGATGGAAGGACGAGGGGGGAGAGGGAGGACGAGGAAAAACAGGAGGAGAAAGACGAGGTGTAGGAGAAGGATGACGATGACGATGACGACGAGGACGAGGACGAGGAAGAGGAGGAGGAGGAGGAGGAGGAGGAGGATTTTTTTTGACACGGCCATGACTGACACAACGTTGGTGCCAGTAAAGGAGGAGGAGGAGGAGGAGGAGGAGGAGGAGGAGGAGGAGGAGGAGGAGGAGAGCGCCATCGACAGGGAAGGTGGGGGCCACGAGGTCCGCCGGCTCGACGACGCCCGCGTCGCCCGCGCCCGCCCCCTCACTCTTATCCGCAATTGCGGGGTTCTACTTACTTATACTACACGTTCTCATTGGAGGCGCGGGTGCGACCCGAACATATAGTATACCTACCTTGTAGTATATCGTTTCCCGAGCGGTACTGTAAGATTTCTCGGTGCACCCGTCGCTCCTGGAGGGGCGACGCACACATAGTAATAATATGTTGGGGTGACGCCAAACACTCTCTCCGTATGCATCCCGTGGGGAAGCCAAAAGGTATCGGTGCCGCCACCCCCAGGACTTCTCCCGAGGTGCGCTCTGGCCAGGATCTCGAGGCGAATCCGGCCGTGACCGAGAGGCCATCCGAGGAGAAGCCCCCAAAAACGGAGAAAACGAGGGAAAGGTACGATAGGTTCGTGCGGCGTCGGCGCGCGCAAAGGTTTTTTGACACCGCGTCGATCGTTCAAGCTTGAATCGATCGCGGCCCCGACCGTGAAAGGTTGAGCTCAGTCGGGTCCTTTGGCATCACCGTGTCCGTCGGTGCCTCCGCGTCGCAGAATTCAACCTGGAACGCCCTCGCCTGCGTCGCCGGCCCGCCAGCGCCGCACGAACCTGCTGCAACGGTGTGGGTGCCTTTCCCTCCTCCGGTTTTGACCCTCCAGAGAAACAAGTTCCGGCCCAATCTTCAGATTCTCAGGAGGGGAAAAAACACACAGACACAATTGATCGTCGATTCCCAGAACATATGGGGAAATATGGGACGTGGGGGGGGAGGCAAAAACCCAGAAGATATGGAAAAGATGGGGAATATTTTTATTAGTGTGTGTATTTATTTGTGTGTCCTGGGGCCCCTTCAGATTCGCCTCGCCAGAAGGCCCCTCGCAGAACCACCCGCCCCGAAGCCTCGCAGCCTGGCGGCATGCGCGCGGCGTCCAGCGCCCCGACAGATCCCTGCCAGACGCCAGCCGCCTCCTGCGAGGGGTCGCCTGGCCACCGCGACCGGCCCTGCAACTCGTGGCGGGGGCTTCCGGGGCTCCCTCCCTGGTAGGAACGAACAATAAGAGATGCGGGCCCCGAGAACCTCCACCACCACCACCACCACCACCACCACCACCACCACCACCACCACCACCACCACCACCACCACCACCACCACCACGTCGATCCCCCCCCCCTCCTCTGCCCTCCTCTTCCTCTCCCCTCTCCTGGCAGAGGGAGGGGGTGAGGGAGTTGGTGGTGGCGTCTATTTTTGGGGCCCCGTAACAGAAGCGTCAGAACTCGGAGCTCCGCGCGGGTTCCACGGATCGGCGCTGGGACCCCCTTGCGGCGCCTCCAGCGCCGCCCCTGGCGCGCTCCGGGCACCAGGGGCGGCGAGCGGACCTCCGGGTCGTTATGGCTACTAAAGGGAAATTAGGACACACAAATAAATACACACAAATAAACATATCCCCCATATTTTCCCATATTTTCTGGGTTTCTGTCTTCCCCCCACTTCCCATATTTTCCCATATTTTCTGGGAAATCGAGGATTAATTGTGTCTGTGTGTTTCTTTTCCTCCTGAGTTACGTCGATGTTTGATCCTCTGGCACCACCGCCCCAGCGTCGTGACAACACACGGTCAGGAGCTTTTGCGTAGCGCGTCGCCGCGGCGGCCCTGGCGACACGCCATGCCCTGCAAGCGGACAGCGAGTCGCTCCGCTGTGCGGGGCGGGACGCTGGGATCGGCTCGGGACGCCGACGCTCGGGAACCGAGACGGGCACAGCGCGCCGCGACGATGCGTGGTGGGTCAAACCTGGCGGCGCGACACGCTAAGCCAAACGCTCCTGATCATAGTGAGGGAACGAAGACGAGGACCATGACCAAGACTGAATGCGGAAACGGCGGTGTCGACTGGTTGGCGTCGTCGACCTTGGCCATCGTCCATCCTGGTCATCGTCGGTTCGTGGGTCATCCACGCGGATCGGCGATGGTCGGCAGGGACCAAGACCACGACGGGCGTCGACGAGAACCCCCGACATCTTGGTCGTGGTCATCGTGCTTCTTCCCCCAGACATGGCCGGCCGCTCTGCGGTTCATCGAAATGTGACCCCTATCCCAGGCTCCGTGGGTTTTTTTCGAATGGACCAGAGATTTGGGCCCCACGCCTGCGATATAGGACGTAGGCGCGTCCATCCTGTGTAGGGGTGCATCCGAATAGGCCCCCCCGGGGTGCATCACAGGGTTTCCCCACCCCCTTTTCCTGCTCGGCCGAACTCCTGGGGCAGAACTCGGGGACACTGGGGGAAAAAACGCCGCCTCCGATCGAACATAGCCGGCCGCTCCGCGGCTCATCGGAGGGGCCCCTTTGGCCCCTCCACGGCTGTGGAGGCTGGCGCGTGCGCCCTGCTCCGCGGCGCCGTGGCGGCGACGGCTTCGGAGGGGGCCGGGCGGGCGAGGTCCACCCCGGGGCCGAGGAGAGGACCCCCCCCTGACAGGAGGCGTCAAGAGAGCCACCACGCCCTCCCCCGGGACGCACAAGGGCACACCAGTGGTTTATACTAGGAGGCAACTACTGGGAGGTTTTCGTCGGAAGAATTAAAGAAGATTAAGCCCCATTTGGGAGCTGTTACGCCAGAGTGGGCCTCGGACTAAGCAGGACTAAGCCGAACTAAGCGGGATTAAGCCGCATTAGGCCGGATTAAGCGGGATTAAGCCGGATTTCGGACCAGGGCAAAATCAGAATTTGACCTCCCAGGAGTTGCATCCGAAGTGTATAGATGTATGTGCCCTCCTCGGAGGCGCGCGTCCGGCCCAGACATGTCGCACAACCATCGTGCAGTCGATCGCTCCCCGCCGGAAATCTGGCCCGTGGGCCGCATTTATCGCGCGTCGCCCAGCATCAAACGCTTGCGTTTGACGTCGAGGAGGGCTGTAGTGCCAGCGACTGTTGGGGGTGACGCCGATGCTCCCTCAGAGGCCGACCCGCACGCGGCCATCCTGCTGCAGCAGGGAGCGCGGGCGCAGGAACGACGGGCCTCCTTTGGGTGCGGCGCGCCTCGGTCACGAGCAAGGCCCCCCGGACCCAGGTCTCGGGAACGGCCTGGAAGCCAGAGCCCCGCCCGGAGCCCCAATGAAGGGACCCAAGGACACACAAATAAATACACACAAATAAAATAATTCCGCATATTTTCCCATATTTTCTGGGTTTTTGTCTTCCCCCTCACTTCCCATATTTTCCCATATTTTCTGGGGAATCGAGGATTATTTGTGTCTGTGTGTTTCTTTTCCTCCTGACCCAAGTGGTCCTTGGTGTAGCGCGCTGGCCGCCTGCGCCCTGGAACGAGGCGCTCCGACGACTGCAGGATCCTGGGGCAGGCCCAGGCGCGCCGACGAAGGCCCCCCAAGGAGGCCCAGGAGGGCCGAACCCTGCCCCTCCGCTCGGAGCCGACGGTCGGATGGCAATGGGGGGAATTCCCCCGGCGCCTCAGAGCAAAGGGGGCGGCGAGCGATAGCAGTAGGTCGGGCATGTCCCCCTACAGGGGGATTTCGGACGAAAAATTCAAAATACCCCAAAAAATGCCCCCCAAATGGTCAAACAATACTCAAAAGATCGTCCCTAGATTTTTGTTTACATCATTTTTGGACAATTCCCTGCAGAGGGACAGGCCCGACTTGACGATAGCACAGGAGGGGGGGGGGGGGCGATAGCAAAGGGGGGGGGGGATAGCAAAGGGGGGGGGGGGGTCGATTGCAGTGGGCAAGGGGGGAGCGATGGCCAAGGACGGAGCCGGCTGCATGCAGCACACGGCCGGCTTCCCCGGCGCCCCCATGGCGCAGGAGGAGAGGCGCGCCGGCGTCTCGGGGAGAGCGCGTTCGGCGGCAGGGGGCCGCTGCCAGCGGCCCCCTCAGCAGGTCTCGCGTCCCGCCGCGTGCCCCCCCGCCCCCCCCCCCCCCCCCATTTCGTCGGACTCGACCCTGACCTCTCTCCTCCCCCCCTTTCGCCGGACTCGACCCTCCCGTCCTCCCGACCCCTCTCCTGCCCCCCCCCCCATTTTCGTCGGACTCGGCCTTCCCGTCCTCCCGGCCTCCTCCATCCTCTTCCAGGCGTTCCGTTCTGGAAGAGGCGCAGCCCCACAGACGCCTCTCACGTTTTAGCCAGCACTACGACCAAATCGCACTGCACCTCGAATTATGGGACAAGACTGCTAAGGAGAAGGGAGGGGGAGGAAGACAAAGCGGAACAAAAAACAGCACCAACAACTACATACTGAGAGAGCTGATGCAGGATGGAGGACAGGAGAGGCCCATGCCTACCGAAGCGTTTCTTGATCCTTGCTTGCGGCGGTTGTGACACGTGAGCCTGTGAGACAAACTCAGGGTCACATGACGCAAATGTCCAGATCAGCATTTCGACCAGCAGCGTAAGTCCCTCATCTGTGCCCGCCGGCCCCAATCTGGGGAGGGAGCTCGGCAAAGACTTCGGGTGGGGGTGATATTCTCTGCCCCCACCGTGCTGTGCGCCCTCTGTTTTGGGATTGGCAGCTGCAAACTCGTACCGTCAGGATCGACCGCGCGACCGAGGCGGAGGCAGAGGCAGGAGAGCCGAGAAAGAACCTCCTCACCCTCCTGCTAGGCGCGGCCTAAACGACCCCGAGCAAACCATCCCCCTCCGTGACGTCACCTCCGCTTTTCAAGCTCCCCTTCTGGCCGCATACATACGTCTTGGGGCGAGGCGAGGAGGATGTCACGGAAAGGGATGGTTTGAGAGTCCTACCGCCCCTGGGCGTGACTGGCGTCTGGGTAGTGCTTGGCACAGCACCCGTTGCTGGAGTCCCGAAACGGTGTGGTGACAGACCGTGCGGTGACCTCGGAACCCCAGGAGACCTCACCGCACGGTCCGGTTTTGGGACCCTGGATGCCCCTGTCGCCCGAGACGTCCTCGGAGAACGACCCGAGTCCCAAAACCGTGCGGTGACCCCGAATCCCCACCGACTCACCGCACAAAGTGGTCACCGCACCGTTTGGGGGCCCCCGACCGTTGATCGAGTGAGAGGTGCGCGCCTCCCGGGAGTCCGCCAAGCTGCCCGCCAGCTGACCGCTGCTGACCGCGGCCTCGAACTCGGCGCGGGAGATGACGCCATCGTGGTTGCGGTCGAGCTGAGGCACCCCCCTCGTTGCACCGCCGATCCACTCCTCCTCCGCCACCTCTACGAGGGAACTGGACACACACACACACACATTTACACACACTTGTTTGGCGATCGCGGCCTCGCGCGCATCGACGAGGCGAGTGCATCGAGCAAGCAACACGGAACAAACGCGCGCGACTCGGCCTTCAGGCGCGGGTGGCGAGTGAGAAACTTGAGGCAGCGTCCGAAGACAAGGAGGGCAGTACACCGACCAACCGACAGCGACGATGCACACACACACACACACACACGAATGACGACGCACACACAGACGCACACACACAAACACACACACACACGAACACACACGAACACACAGGCCTGGATCCACACGTGGAGCATGCGGAGGCGGCTCGCTGGATGCACGCATGGACAGTCGGCGCACTCGGTCACACCAAGGCCAAGCTCTGGACAAACGTGCGATCAAATGTGTATCCAGGCTCATCGATGCTTGCCACGTCATGTGTACCCAGCTTCCTGGTACTCCGCTGACGCTCCTCAGCACTCTTCAACTCCCGCCCTGCTTCCTTCCCTTCCTGACTCTCTCCTTCCATCCTCCCTCCGTCCCTGCTCCATCCCCCCTCTCGTCTTCCTTTGCTATCCGCCAGAATGCGGGGTTGTCGAGCTGATTTGAAGACCTCTCCGTGGCCTCGTTAGACTCAACAGCCCTTGCCATGAGGAATGCATTGCAACCGTGCTGATCGTGCCCCCAATGGAAAACAAAACATCGACCCGCTAGCAATGGACATATCTGACTGTTTCAGTGGTGCATCCGCCTGCGTGGATGATCAAGTTTGTATTCCAGGCGTCCTCAATGTGTTACCAGACGTGCTACCAAGTTCTGCTGATATCCCATGCGCAACTCACCAACATAATGCGCGACATTGCTCCACTTCTTTAGACGCCATTTTACCACATCGTCATTGACCATTGGCGGTGCCATCATGCACTTTGCGATGGGTACCCCTGAAGCGAAACGAACGTTGGTCCAGGGAGAGACGGTATGCCGGCGAATGACATATCCGATGGTGATCCCTTGCGGCATATGTATGTAGAGGTACAGTCGGGGCGTTGACCTAAGGAACCCTAAATAAGGAACGAGGCCCCTCTTTTCCATAAGTTGAACCTCGATTTCCGGACGAAGACGTAGGGAAAGCCTGAGGCAAGCTGCGAAACACTTCAGGCACGCGGAGCCCCTCCCCAACCAAAAGGGTTCCCTCTTCAGGGCCCCGACTGTATGACGTGTGACTGGCTGCGGGAGCCCTGAGCCCCCCAGAAATACCACCTCTCGGAGGCGCAGTGGTTCTTCCCGCTGGCCTCCGCCGGCCTCCCGTCGCCTCCCACCGATGAGGAGATGGCATCACGTTCGATCCTCGCAGGCGAGGGCTTTCCTGGAGCGCTCCACATGTACAGTCGGGGCGTTGACCTAAGGAACCCTAAATAAGGAACGAGGCCCCTCTTTTCCATAAGTTAAACCTCGATTTCTGGACGAAAACTTAAGGAAAGCCTGAGGCAAGCTGCGAAACACTTCAGGCACGCGGAGCCCCTCCCCAACCAAAAGGGTTCCTTCTTCAGGGCCCCGACTGTATGTGTGCATGATGCCAATTTTCCTTCAGACTCAAGGAAGTTGTCTTGCATGGAGGGGGGGGGGGCGTGGCGAGGCCCGAAAGGAAATCTGGACGTCACGCAAGCCGGGGCCCACACTTGCACGCCTTCTGGACCCGGCGCTGTTCGAAAAGGCGGCGGACGGGGGGTGAAGGGGGACATGCCATGCGAGTAAGCTTGCCAGGAGTCTGCAGCGCAACTAGGGCTCCCAACTTCGCGCTTCGCGCTCCGCGAAGCGCGAAGCGCGAATAACTTCGCGCCCTCGCGCCGCCCCCCCAAAGGGAGAAGGAACGAGGACCGCGAAGCGCGAAGCGCGAATAACTTCGCGCCCTCGTGGGAGCCCTTGCGCAACGCCTCTACATGTGACTATCATGTGAGTGAGGTTCGCGTCCATCAAGCCCATCAGCGATGCATCAGTGGCCTGGCACCGGGAACCCCAACCACCGCCCGAAATCGGCCCAGAGCCCGAAACTGGACACCTGGGTACCCAGAGCCCGAATCGGGGACCCGGGGACCATCCCGCTCACCGAAATCGGCCCACCAGTACCTTCGCCAAGTCACCGACGGACGCCATGACCCCCTCAGTGCAAGCGCGTTTTGGGGAAGGTGGGCCAGCTGCGTCGGTGGAGGCCGGCGCTTTTAACGACACTTAAGAACAGCAGTTGGTTTCGTTTCAGTGTTCGCACGTGCTGCACGTCTGCCCGGCGCGAGGGCTGCCAGAACTACTCCTGTGCAAACCTCTAATCTGTCCACTTCTCTTGTTATATTGGTTTGTTCTCTCTCTTTGTTTGTTCTCTCTCTCTCTCGTTGTTTATCTTCTCTATAAACTCTCCACTCTCTACTCTTTATCCTCTACTCTCTACCCTCACTACTCTCCGCCTTCGACTTTCTATATACTCGTCCCTGCGCTTTCTACGTTCTCACATCTCTCTCTCCCTTTCTCTCTCTCTCTCTCTCTCTCTCTCCCCCCCCAATTCTGCTCTTGACTATCTGTGGTGTGTACTTTAATTATACGATCTAAACTCTTCACCCCTCCTCCTCCTCCTCCTCCGTCCGCTCCTCCTCCTCCTCCTCCTCCTCCTCCTCCTCCTCCTCCTCTTCCTCCTCCTCCTCCTATCCATCCCTCCGTTCCGCTATCCAACCTCCTCCTCCTCCTCCTCCTCCTGTCCTCCTGTCTCCCTGCCGACTGCCGACTTGTCCCCGTCACCGGTCGCAACTGGGGGTATCAACGCAGTTACTCTCCGCACAGTTCCTGGGGTGCGTTTTGACCAGCATTTCGAGGCGAGTCCAGCGGTGGCAACGAGGGCCCCCGAGCGGCCGAGGAAAGGGGGACCGAGGGAAGGGTAGCAGCATGGGAACCTCTTCCTCTTCTGAGCAATGCGAAGGAGCAGCAAACCAAGAGTGGCCCTATCAAAGACGAACTCGCTGCGCGTGATGACCCCATCGCCGTCCGCGTCTATGCGGTCGAACTCGGCGCTGGCTCCAGACCTCCCCCGCAAGCGGAGGGGGAAGCCCCAGATGAGGTGGAGGAAGGAGGAGGAGGAAGAAGAGGAGGAGGCGAAAGAGGAGGGGGAGGAGGAGTCGGAGTCGGAGGAAAAGGAGGAAGAAGAGGAGGAGGAGGAAGAAGAGGAGGAGGAGGAGGATAATGGGGGAGGAGGAGGAGGAGGAGGAGGAGGAGGAGGAGGAGGAGGAGGAGGAGGAGGAGGAGGAGCGCAGCGCCTCAGGAATGTCTCCAGCCGCGCACGCGGGCGCGAGACGGACTACCCCCTGGCGCCGCCTACCCACGGCACCGTGCCGTAAGAGAAGGAAGCAGTGTAGAAGGAGAGCAGCTGGAAGAAGCCGCCCTCAAGGTCGTGGACGCAGACCAACTTGCCGCCGACGGAGAAGGCGTCGCCGCCGAAGAAGACGCCGTGCCACCAGCCGAACACGGAACGGCAGCGAATCACGACATGGTCGATCATCGCGCCGCGTGGCTGCACGAGGAGCCACCCTGCAGGAGCGGCGCTGCTGGGGTACGTCGGGCACGAGGCGCCAGGCCCTTCTCGTCGCGCCTGATCGCATCTTGCTGGTTGCGGCGCGTGGACTCGTTGGGCGAGAGCCCATCGCACCTCAAGCCAAGCTTCCGCACTGTACGGGCACCTCCCGCAGCACAGTGAGACCCGCAGCGTCTGCAACAGTAAACGTTGTTGCCCCTGAAAACGTCGTGCCCAAAGCGCGGCGAAGGCGTCCCCGACCTCCTCGGCCAGGGCAGGTGGCAACAAGGCTGCCGGGTCGAGGGTTGTGAGCTCCCTTCGAGCGCCAAGACCACGCCCAGGGCCATACCAGCCCTCTGATAGCTGCAGAGAACCCAGCCCTCGCCGAAGACGCGGAAGCACGCGGCGTTGAGAGCTCTGGCATCACGCGAAGGGCGACATACACGATGAGAGCCAGTTAGCAGCGACTCGACGGAGGAGCCCTTTGTGGCCGTGACTCCGCTTTGGGTACATCGGTACCGCCCGAGGCTGGCGCAGTAAGCAAGGACCTGCTCGCAAGGTGGCCCGGAGACCTCCACGTCGCACCCCCATTGTTCGCGAACCACCACCTGCAGTACAGCCCACGGAACGAACTGCAGGACCTTGCGGTGCTGTTTCAGCGCAGCTGTTACCGCCTCGGCTACCGACCCAGCCAGTGCGTGAGAGGCCGCACCACAGCGCGCGAAATAGTCTGCCCAGCCGTTGCCTAGCCAGTCACGCAGCTCCTGCGGCCCTGTGCCCACAAGCTCCTCCAAGGACCTGTGCGCTGGCGTCCATCGGAACTTGGGGGGGTCCCGCAGAGTGCGCCTGCGGCTGGCCACGAAGATGTCCCGCCACGCTCTAGCATGCTTGGCGCGACCCTGCTCGAGCTCGAAGGAGGGAGGAGGAGAAGCCTTTTCTTCCTCCGCCTCCTCCTCCTCATTTTCCTCCTCCTCCTCCTCCTCCTCCCGTCCCTCCTCCTCCTCCTCCTCCTCCTCCTCCTCCTTCCTCCTCCTTCCTCCTCCTGCCGCCCCCCCCTCCCTCAGACCTCCCCCTGAGAGAGCATGGCCCACGGGCGGCGAGGGCGGCCGCGCCAGCGGCGGGGGAGGGAGGGCGGAAGGCGGAGGAGAGGAGGGGACTGATGAGGACAGGTGCCAATCCGAAGGAGCCCGCCGCGTCCTCGGGCCCAAGTATGGCATCTGTCGTTTTGAATGTCGCCCGAAGCACCCCAGCTCGCCGCGCCCCGCAACTGGCGCTCTCAGCCGAGCAGAAAGAGAGGAAGGCATCCACGCACGACTGTTGCAGCCTGGCTGGCAGGCAGTTGCGCCTGACACCCCGCTTCGAGAATTCCAGGCGTGCGCGGGTGCAAGCGGTAAATCCACCGGCGATGCTTCAATTTTGCGCTCACCTGCGGATCAAAAGACAAAGTGTTCTTCCAGC